TATATGAATTCTGTAAGACATTCTAACCCTGTATAAGTAACTGATTAGTTGACAGCTAGTAAAAACTGTAAATGTCATAAATACTAATACTATGACAATTTAATACTGAATAATTTAAATTCTAACATTTAAAAGAAAAAGTTAGTGTTTTTCTGGATACTTTCAAGGAACCTAAGGTGGATGGAGTATTTTTCTTACCTGTTTCCTGCCTCATCATCTCAGCCTGACCCTGATCCATTTGAGCCTATTATCTACAAGATAATAACAATGTCTTTTACATAACAGTAATCATGATGTCATGATTTTCTGGCACATCTAAATTTCACTTTCAGCTTTCTGGCATTTGCAGAAAATTGTTGAATTTATTGAAACACGAACCGTCTTTTCTTCTTGGGCCGCTACGATCTACAGTAACATTTTCCCTGTTTTCATTCACTGCTCCATTTCGCTCTACAGATTTCTGGCACAGGAAGTAGTCTTGTATTTTCCAGAGGAGGCCAGCTGGTTGTTGAGCAGACCCAGGCCTCCTACTTTTCCTTGGGGGCCTTCTGTCTCTGTGCTGCAGCTGAAATGGGCAACGAAAAAATAAAATAAAATAAAAGCCAAGTGCGGTTAAAATGAGATATAAAGGCGCATTTAAACAAAGAAACATATATGACATTAAAGGTATGTTATTAAAATACTGCAGTAGTGATGTATTACATAAATATGTATTGTCACAGCAGATACAGTACTGTTAATGTGAACATAGAAGAAAATATATAAAAAATATAGGATTTAATGGACTAAGACAATTTACTGCAGAGCTGCTTTTTTTTTTTTTTTTTTTACTGAACTGGCAACAACAAGACCACCATAGGAATGATAACAACCAGAAGACTGTTCTGAATGACATACAACACCAGTACTTATAACATACATTAATATCAATACACTCTGTTAGGGTAGGGCCTGTGTGTCTTAGTTCTTTATGGGTCAAAACCACACGTGTGTTTGCCCAGACATGTCTTAATATCAGACAGACATTTTACTGCAGCCCTAATCCTGACACATAAACACCACAGGAATAATAATAAAAAAATAAACAGCGGGTCAGAAGCCGTGGATGAATGTGGTACAGACACATGCCATTCCTGTCTGAGGACATGGGTGGTCTCTGCAGCAGGGGTTGCATTTTGTCATTGTATATAATACGTCATTTTGATTGTGTATAAAACACAGGAGCGACATTTCACCTTCCCTCATTATTGGACACGTGAATTAATCATTTACCTTGAGTTCATCCACGTGGCTGTTCCCTTCACCACGGGGTGACATCATCACAGCCTGTAGTGAGAACACGGACAGTTTCTCTTTTTCTGTTACACACACACTCCCTCACACACCAACACAGCTGCTAGCATCACGAGTTTCGTTGACTTCACTGTGTCACTAATATTCCACAGCAGGATACATTTCCCCTCAGACATAAATCTACAAAGTTTTGCATGACTTGCAAAGCAGTAGAGAAATGGCACGAAGCCCTGGGCTGTGTGTGTGTGTGTGTATTTATAAATGTATAAATCCCTCATTAAGCTCACTGAGGGTAGTGGTAAAGATGGCCGTCTGCCAGGTAACCTGCTTCAGCTCTCTCTCTCTCTCTCTCTCTCTCCCAAGGCTGTGTAACTGAAGCGTACCATTATCCAGCCAGGCTCCAACAGTTGAGCCCCTGTGTTCTGAGTTGTTTTCTAAGACCACATGCAAGGCTGAAAAGATTGGAGGCTGTAAAAACAAAACCTTGTTTTTAATCGATAGTCTTTTACATTGAATCTCTCTGATGGTAATACTTTATTATTATTTTTAATTAAACCAGTGTTAGTGTTGATCCTGACTCCTCCTGACTGTAACACTAACTTCTAATGGACAACTCTGAACTATGACCAAAACATTCAAGTGTATAATTGAGAACTGGATCATCTAATAAAAGTATTAGAATAATCTGTACGGTTTAATATGGAATAGAGTGTGTTGAACTGCCTCGTGACAATATGTAAAATAATAAATGTTTGCTTGTTTTTAGAGAATGCTCCATGCTTTTATCAAAATGATATAGAGAAAAACCATGGTAGTGGCTGACAAATCTTGGTTTATATTAGAGCACATGTGAGTGGGTGACTGTGAAAATGGGGAATGGTTAGCAGTGTGTTTGTTTGTGCAGAAGAAATCCTCCAGGCTGTAGACGAGGACGACAAGCTGTTGTCTTGAAAAAGAAGAGAAAAACATCCGAGACTAGCTTTTCAATTTCGGAGACATTTTAATTGCTAGAACTCAAGGCCAGGCTAAAAATGCCTCAGCTGGCGCGCAGCATGAGAAAGTAACAGAAGTCATTTCACGATCAATGTGAGGAGCACGGCTAACTGTCTGAAATGTTCTCAACGACACATCAACATCTTCACGTTCTCATGAAGTGAATCCTATTGTAGCAGAAAACCAAAGGAAACAAAAGACAAAGCACTCACTGTGCCTGTGATGGACAACAATACAAAAATGTGGTGAACAACAAAGTTTCCTACAGTTGGTGAACGCAACCCAGCTATTACCAAGCTAACCCTTAGATCAGGGCTGTCAAAGTCATTTTCCACATCAGCAATACAGTTCCCCTTGAGGGGCCGGGTGTAAATGGAAGATTGTATAGATCAGGGGTCCCCAACCCCTGGTCTGCGGACCAGTATCAGTCCATAGGTCATTTGGTAGCGGGCCACTGTACTTAATTTTTACTAATTTACCTCATTCAAATTTATACCTCATGCCCTGCTCAAAATACCATTACATGTTCAATGCAACATGAACCAGGTTCTTACTGTGGCTGACTGTGTTTTTAAAATCAAGTCAGTCAAAGCTGCAGCTGCTAAGATAAGGTGTGGCTCTGTTCTCTGTTCAGGTTGCCTCCCTTTACTCCTAAATGATAGTTACCAAGTCCATCTTGTTTTTGAGCAGGTCCTTAAACGCAGCACTGCTGCACAGCTCCTTGTCGTAGTAAATCCTCAACCTGCTTCCACAGTTGAGGATGAAACAACCCAGAGATGAAGTGGAATGTGATCTTTTTATATTTTTCACATTTATATATATGTTTTTATTCAGAATAACTCAGAGTTCATATTTCACAGCACTGCTAATAAACTTTTAAGACTTTTCAGACCTGAAAAACTGTCCTTCAGTTTGGTCCAAACTGTGGGACCACTTTATAAAATAGTACCCTTATTGTACCAACTGTACTCAAGTGTTCCTCGACCAGAAGTCGTTTTACTTCATGCAGCCCAGGCAGAATAAGGTCACAGCTGGAACTTCTTTTTCACTAATTGACTACAGAAATCCCTAATGTAACAGTCAGAGTACTTTGACTCTGCCGATCCTCTGGACTTCAGGATCTGCAGCAGCAGACTCTGTGCCGTGTTTTTATTTTTGTCTGTTTGTAAACTACCACCAAACGAATTGCCGTCTCCCACAGAGGCACGCCCCCAAGTGGCCTAAGAATATAACATTCCGCGTCATGCACAGCACACAACCTAAACGTGGGCAGGTGTCCATGCCTTCTCTGTCACACTTTAAGGGCTTCCTGTGCTGAGGTTTTTCCTACAACCTCTCATCTCGAGAGCCGCCTCTCACCAGCCTCCTGGTGATTCACACAACGGAGTCCCTGAGGAACAAACAGTACCACTGGAGCTGGTTTCTAAGGAATCATTTTCTGATGTGTCAGTACTTACTAAGTCGTGTCTAATTTTTTTAACCTACCACAGAATCCTGCTACTGGAATCCACCTTCACCTACAGCAGGTGAATCTGCCTCTCTGCTGCACAGACCCCCCAGGAAGACGGTACATCTGACTCATTTGTAGGGGTAATGCTTTCAAATAAATAATTCCGAACATTAATAACCAGTGATAGATAAACAGTTTAACAAGCCGTAATGTTCACATCACTGCACAGACCTCCTCTAACCACACAACAGGGACGGGACGATAAATAAAGCATATTCTGTGTTTATAAGTCTCCGGAGAGAGGTAAATTCACATGTTGTAAATCATCCTGACTTAGAAGCCAGATGATTCAACATGGTAATGCTCATTACTGTCCTCCATTCCTGGTTGTTTCTACCACCACAGTAGTAAAAACACTGAGTTTCAGACCACGTGAGGAAGTGATTCTGTTTTAAATGTGGAACGACGGTGGTTTTCAATACCAAGCCAATGCAACAGCCACAAATGTCCCCAAAGGCCCAGTGTTTATTTTGTTATAAATATATGTGTTTATTTTTGTGGCCTGCTCCATTCTGATGCATGAATGTGCTGGAGCTGAGGAGCTGAGGTTTAACCCTTTGAGATCAGCCTGCAGGTCACAGGAGGATGGATCTGTGTGTGTATCTGTCAGTCCAAACGGGGCTCCATTCAGAGGGCAAAAAAACAAAAAACTAAAAGATTTTGTCTACAAAAAAATCACCATAAAGAATAGAAAAATAAGCATTTCTCACATTTGTTGCTACGGTCCTCTAACCCATGATCATCTTCCAAACAACAATCGTCTGTGAAAACACTGAAACAATGTTGTTTTTGGAAAGCAAAGATTTCAACCCTCCTCCAGGCATGTTTTATTTTGTTATAACAATTTTCAACAGATTCATCAACAGATTTTGCTATATTTAAATAAAAAAAACATCAAGACTATAACATATTTTGCTGATATTTAAATAAAAAAAACATCAAGACTAAGATTTATATCTGCTTGTCCTTTTTGCACTACATCAGTGTCATTTTCCTCTTAAATCTCAAATATATTGGACCTTTCTGGATAAAACCCCCCAAAACAAAACATTATTAATCATTAACAGTGGGATCAACAGAGCAGAGTGACGGTGGATGGAGGAGGAAGAAAGCTGCACAGAAAGACAGGACATGCTGAAACAGTCTGCTACTGTATGTGATGACGTCACACTAAAGATCTTGTTGATAAAAAACAGCACAGAAAGAAAGTGGATAATATATTTATTTAAATTATCTGATTTCTCTGACTATAGATTCAGTATACACAAGAGCAAAACATAAATCCAGACCACAGCAACAAGCTGGAACCAAGAGAAAGGCCTGTTTAAAAGCACGAACCAGAATAAAACCACACAGGCATCACAAACACACACACACACACACACACACACACACACACAGTTTGGCTTCAACTTAACTACAGGGGGATTCAAATACCATGAAGTTCCTGTTCCTGTTGCTCGGCCCGCTCACGTCGGCCATTAGTCTGGGGGCAGTAACGCTGAGATGATTTAGATGTAGAGTGTTGGGAGGAGACTTCACTTCAACCACTTACAGATGTTTTCTTGTTTTAAATCAGCATTTTTTTAATGCACACACAACATCCCCAGAGACCAAGGTTGAACATGGGATACCTCCACAACACTGGCCCTGGAGGGTCCCGCCTCCTCAGAAACACAGCTCACCCTCAGGGCCGCCTCAACGACTATCAGGTGAAACGCCCTGTCCTCCCGTCTCTGCCCTGTGCCCACGTCTCCCTTCAAGGTCCTGCATGTTGCACCAGGACTGCAGGAGGCCTCGATCACAAGTCAAGCCTATCTATCAACACAGGAAGAGGACGGGGAACAGGCTTTGAAGTAGGAATAAAGCTGTTGCTAGTTTCACAAAAGGCAGTTGGGAATGTGGCCCATTATCATTACAGCGTGGCTTTAAAGGCCCTGCCAACACATCTGGCTCATGTTTAGACCCAGAGCTGGATCCGTCTGTGTGGTAACGTCACTGGAGGCCAGTCTGTGGAGACCCCAGGCCAAAACACACTGTCCAGGTGAAATTTACCTTTATGAAAAACCACAACCACCTACACACACACAAGCAAGCAAATATACATACACATCCTTCACAGAGCGCCAAACACATCTCATAAAATAAAAAGTATTTGTGGCTCATAGTGGCAAGAAGGGATGATTGCACAATAACCTCAACAGCGCCGGCTTCTCCAACCGTATTAAAGTTAATAAACAACTTCTCGTATTTATAATAAATTAAAACGCCATTTCCAAAAATGGTTGTCTTATCCTTCTTTGATTACTGTTTTTTTTACTTTTTTTTTAAAGGAAATTATGTAAAAACACAAGAAGACAGGAAACAAAAATGGAGACTAATGTGATAAGTGTTGTAGTAGTGGTGTAATGCATGCAGTTTTCCGGAACTTTTCCTTCTATGCATCTAAGGTTTGTAACTCTGCAGTCCATTATACACAGAGGGAATGATCAACAATCAGAAAAGAAAGATAAAAAAAACCCAAAACAGTTACATTTATACATTGGTAAAAAGTCCGACTGCTGTGGAGACTGACCCAGTCTGTACAACTGTGTGCGTCCGGTTTCTAAGCTGCTGAATCAGACTTTAAATAATATTCAAAACAAAGAATGCAACTGTAAAATCACTTCAAAATATCTTAGTGTTATTCTACAAAAAGGCCTCCTTTTTTGGCAGTTAGAAATTTTCCGACAGGATGGGAGACTTTCATCGTTGTGTGTTTGATAAACATCCTCTGACTCATGTGATACTAAGCAGAAAATTCTAATTCTTCTAAAATCCTACTGCTTAAAGCTGATTTTATTACATTATATTATTTCTGTTAAATCTCAGAGTCAAATCCAAACTACATTCTTTTAGGTCTGAGAGTGTGTGTGTGACTGACGTGTGGTCCTGGAGGCAGAGCAGTGTTTGTCAGAGATGAAACACACTTGTCATGACTGATGTTCTATAGAAGAACTGTAGTGTTTAACCCAAAGAACAAGGACTTCACTTAGATGAAATAATCTTTGGGTCTAATATAAGGAATAAATCATTCATCTTTGAGTTGGTTTGATAGATTTACATGTTGACTGGACAGCGTTTGTGTTACACTGAAGTCAGTGGCCAACTGTCCGTGCAGCATCAGCTCCTCTGACGTAGCATCACCGCCTGCTCAAAAACTGACTTTCTGTTAGCAGCTTTAAAAAAAATCTCTTAATGTAGCGATACACAAATACACTTTAACATCAACACTGGTTTCTGTCAAAACAATTGACTCCTCTCTCTCTTACAGGAGTTAAGGAGGTCACCTTCTTTGTCTTTGAGAGGGGGCTCAAAGGCCCAGCATCAGATGCAGCGCCCTCAGTCGGTCCAGTGGTTGGGGAGCAGGTGAAGTGTGAGTGGTTGACATCAAGAAGCAGAGCTGTGGGGTTTAAGGCCGCGGGCTACAGACCACATTTCTGAAAAAACACCTTTGGAAAAGAGATGCACATGGCCAATGAAACCTGTGTGGGTAAAAAAGACTGAACACGTCACCGTCACGAAACGTCTGATGTCGCAGAGCCTCAGGACAGCAGCTGACCAAAGATGTTCTCCACACCATCAACTGCCATCAACACAGGCTGAAGCTGCTGGGTTACATCCCAACACACAGGTTCGGGGTGTTGTGTACTGCGGCCTCTCTCCCCCGCGTCAGCCACCTGTCACACAGGGCCGGGGCTGTGGTGATAGTTGTAATGGTTGGAGTGGTCCGAGTCTGCGATCTGCAGGCTGGGTTTCCTGCCCGGCTCGTCGCTGTCGGCTGAGTTCGGCTTAATGCAACGGGGAGGACGCTTTTTGAAGAAGTCTGACACAAAGTGCACCTGCAGGAGGGAGGGAGGGAGGGAGGGAGAGGTGAGTTAAACTTGAAGGATTTATAAAAAATAAAATGTATATCTGGAGTGTCAGCATGTTAGGGATACAGGATCCAGCAGAGGTAAGAGCAGGCCTGGAAACTGTGATTAAATGTCTGGACAGTTCTGTACACGGCTGTTGAGTCACACACTAACACTTACACACACGCACATTTAAGAGGAACACACACAGAGAACCGCCACACCCCCGTGGCCATAAAACATGGAGCTCAGGAGGGTCTCTAATGGAGCACTGCAACGTGAAGGCCAAAGAAGTGGCTTCACCTCCCAATTAATCACACGCACAGCTGGACACACGTGCAAATTCACTGTCGGCCGTTCAGAATTTCCACGAGTTGGCGATGACAGTGGTTCAATCAAAACAGACATGTGGCCAAACAATTTAGGAATCCAGCTGGACGAACTCTGGAGGCCGTGAGTGAGTGGGTTTGTATCGAGTCACACTCTGCTGTCAGACTTCAGTCAGCAGGTGGTCCGCTGCTGGAAGTCACCTTCAGTGTGATGGAGTTCTTATGATGATAAACTCTGTTTGTGTTTCCCTAAAAATACTTTTCAGAAGTCAGATTCATTTTTTCAGATGTCATCAGGTTCAAGGCTTGAAATGAAAGTAGAATTAAAAGAAAAAGAAAAGACCAGGGAGAGCAGTAACATCAGAGCAGACGACTCTTCAACTGCCTGTTAAAAAGTAAACGTATCGAGGTATAGAAAATGATCACAGAGAATATTTCTTGGCGGTCTTGGATACTTACATTGAGTACAGCGACCAGTGCTCCCTGCAGCAGACCCACCAGCACGTCGCTCCAGTGGTGCTTGTAATCAGAGACTCGGGTGTAACCCACGTAGACTGCGAAGACTACCAGGAAGAACTGAATGGTGGGTCGCAGAAGTCTGGCCCACTTAGCCACCAGTCTGGCCTGCACGTAGAGCTGGAGTGTTGGGTAGTGAGGAATAAGTAAGGTGAAATAGTAAATCACGATGAAGTCTTTATCTACACTGTTTTATCAAGGCACACACTAGTACTAGTAGAGTCGATCATGGTTACCATCAACACATTTCCACGACATGTGTATTACTCTTGTGTATTAAATGTCCCATACACCTGTGTACTTGTACTAACTTCCTGTACTTAACAGTTTGGTGTAAATACACGGACCACTACATTGTTGATATTCAAAAACATCTCCTCTTTGCTTGGACATGGTGTGCCATACTAAAGTCAAAACTGTCATTCTGTACATTCTGTGAACAAACAGTAGTGTGTTTTCAAATAGAAGTGGAATGAAACTGTGCTGAGTCTGAGCCTGATTTATGTCCACGATGGACTGAAAAGTCCAATTTTACTGCAGAGCCGCAGATGCCAGCAAATTATGAAGCTGGCAACAATGCCGACTTCTGCTCAGTGGCTGTTGAAGGAACAGAACTTGGCATCACACCACAGTCCCCCAGTCACACAGAGCACTCAACACTGCAGGACATGTTTTCAGCAACACACTATTTGCCTGCCAAATTAAAAAAAATATGAGAGAGAGAGAGAGAAAGAGAGGGAGGGAGGGAGCACGGACTAAAGCACTAACAGGACCGGACACTGGCTGGAGACACTGGGATTCTTCTTTGAAATTCATTTTTCTTTGAACTGAACAATGTTGCTTTGCTTGGACTTCTGCACTAATGTCTGGTGGCATGTTTTGATGGAAGACAAACTAGGCAGACCTGGGGGACAGAGGACAGCACATGACTTGCCTTCGTCACTGCTGGGAAAAAAGCAGCCATTTTAGGATCCAAACTATTTTTGTATTCTTCAGCCTTGCTATTTTTTTTAATAATCAAAATACTGTATGTGTGTATCCTCAGAATGTAGCAGGGGCAGAAGAAGGGGGCAAACCTTTAATCATCAAAATGAAGGAGACATATTATCATGGCTCCCCCCCGCACAAAACTCTGGATATGATGCAGTGCTATAATGTGTATGCCGATGTGTCTCTGGTAAGGTTGGTAAGGACATGAGGAACGGCACCTCACCATGCAAATGTCCAGAAGATATAAATGTTGCAGTCACACCCTCACAGTCATTTTCATATCAACAGTTATGGACTGTGTGTGATGGACTTACTGCGAGGAAAAGCATACAATACATTCCAAAAGAGGAGTGACCAGAGTAGAAGGACAACCTGGAAGAAAAAAAATATCTACTATTTAAATGGTTTATTTCAATTTAACAAATGTGACCAAATGAAGTCAATTTGAGAGCAAATGTATAACTATTTCAGGCTACGTTCTAAAATGTAGCCTATTCACTCCTCCGCTCCTACCTGGACTCGGTGACATCTTGTGGTTTCCCAGTGCAGTTGATCACGTGCATATATCCTGTGCAGACCTTCGGAGCACAAACGGCCATGAAATTTGGTCTTGGGCGGCCAATGGTGAACTTGGCAAGGTCGGTCAGTGATTGGCTGACAGCTGCTCCAAACAAGAACGTACCCACGACCTTGTAGAGTGCAGCCACATATTGGTTGAAGTCCGAGTTGGAGTAAACCCTCTTGCTGTAAACCAGGTAAGCCTCTCCAGAGGAAATCTGAGGAGGATGAAAACAGATTACTGGGAGTCTTTCAGTTTAGTATTCCTTAATTTTCCAAAAGGGAATTAGAATTTATACATATAAATAACATCTTTAGAAGTAATTCAACAAACTCAAAATAAGCAATTCTGGTGAAATGAAACGACACAACAAAACAATTGAACAAAAACATCTCAAGTACAGAAAATATTGAAACTGAGATTCTGTTGCCTAGCTGGGCCCCCACCTGCAAACGCTCCTCTAAACCCCCACTTTTGGAACCACTAGATAAAGGTATTATTCAGTTCATAATAATAATGATAGACTGTTACGTGTTGCCCACATTTATGCCACTTACATGTCAACAGATGTGTTGTTATTTCAGTTTTATTTCTAAGAGAAATATGACATTTAAAATCTAGTCCGAGTGCTCTCTCTCTCTCTCCTATCCTGTGTCTCTCTTTCACTCTGTCAAGACCACACACACTGTCCACAGTATAAAGCTAAAATATTTTCTCTTTCGAAAACCAAATTCCTGTATTTTTATTTTTATTTTATGTGCGTTCTTTTGTGTGTGTGTTCTGCCAACAGGAATAAGTGAGTAAAAAAAACACACAGTGAAGAGTTCTTGCCTCTCATTACTTGAACACACTCACTGTTCTATCCTGATATACTGCTATTGTAAGGAATGTTTGCGTAACCAGGTGTGTCGGAGCTGTTCCTCTGAGCTTTCATTATACAAACACACTCTAATGCATGGAAATGAAGCCCATAAACCACGGCTGGCGGCGTTGATACTGAGAGTCAAAATAGCTTTTTTACAATTTAAAACCACTAAGTTTCTCCATGAAGTGTCATAACGAGACCCTCGCTCAAATACGTCCAATGAAAAGCAGCTATGGAGATATGAAAGAGAAAGAGACACGGTACCGAAGGATAACCTACTGAGATAAGATAAAATCCACTGCACTGAATTGTCCTTGGTGATTTTGAATTTAATGAGGTAAGACCACAAACAACTGCCCCTCCCACTGTGGAGGGGCAGTTAAAGGATGTAAAAAGAACTCACGATGATGACGGTGCAGGTGATGGTGACGGCGGCCAGCATGCCGTGGGTGATGGTGTCTGGTTTTAAGGGGTACCTGATGCTTTCATCATCGCAGTAAACACCTCTCTGATAGGGCTTGAACACGATGGTCATGACGATGAAGGGCAGAGCCGCTGCAGTAGACACAGAGATATAAGTCATTATATTTACATGAACAGAGCTGCTGCTGCTGCTGCTCCACAGACACACGAGGGCCTTGATAGCTGCTAAGAACAGAAATAATACTGATCCTAATAAGGACATTTCAGAGACATGAAAAATTGCCTACGATAACATATTTGGTCTGTTTTTCTACAGGCTTCCAGACATGACATCAACTCTTAACATTTTGAAAGTCAAAATGTTTGTCTTAGAACAGTGCAGTTGTTTTCCTTATCCCCCTGGACCTCAGAGCCTCAAATCAGAGCAATGGAACAGCCAACAAAGAGAGCAAAGAACAACACATGGGAGTGAAGGTCAAAGTAAAACTGAATTTAAAAAAAGAAACAGTAGGAAAAGTGTTTATCTACACATGCATTTAGGGATATGTTTTTAAATATAACAAGAACAGAGGGGATAAAAATGTAGTTACAACACACACAAGTCCAACTGACTGATGTGGCTGTGTGTGTGTGTGTGTGTGTGTGTGTGTGTGTAAAGAAGACTAAATATAGTTGGTTATGGCTCCAGAGGCACGAAGGATGAGAGGTGTCCTTGAGAAGTCTAAAAGAACGGATCCATGAAGGCATCACCAGTTCTACTGACTTTAAGAACAGAGCTGCAGTCTTCAGATATTTTCATTTCATTATAAAATAACATGTTGTTTTACAGCTTGGTCTGAAAGAGAAAAAAAATCCACTTTGGCAAATGAATTCCACTACAAATTTGTTTTCCAGCTTGAAGTCTCACTCAGAGTTTCCTCACAGAAAAGGAAGAAAAGTAGAAATAATAAGGCTGATTCAACGAACGGACAGTACTGTAAAGAGTACCCCAGGTACTCATACTCATAAGTACTACTACTACTGCAAAAAACATTGGACTTTATTGATCCCACAGTTGTGAAATTCTTGTGTTAACAGCAAAGGTGTGTGTTTCCTGTGGGAATCAAACCCAGGTCTCTTGGCTTGCACTACAATTAAATAAAAGAAAATATAAAATAATTTAAATGTTCAGAATGTGACTAGTGTCTCACTGGCTGTAGTTTGAGAACTACTAAACTCAGAGGTCTCAACACTTGTGTTTTCTTTAGCCCAGTTATTACAGTTAACACTTACACGCAACAGTTGAACTTATGTTAATGCATAGGAATCGCAGCCCAAGAGAGGAATGCACCCTCCACCCTGGCGTGCACTGCACCACTGCAGCAGTCAGACACTCATGGGCCCACTATGGAAATGCCACAGAGCCACATACTAAACGCTAGAAAAATAACAGTGGAAAAGCCCCGCATCAAGCCATGGTATTCCATTTCTGTGTAAATGAGAAGCACACCCTCCCATTCTGTGTCAAAAAAAAAAGTGTCTGCAGCTGACATAATTCCAGCAGGATTGACTGATGAGAGACCAGCAGTGAAAACACTGAAGACTGAGACAGAAGGAAAATATACAAGGTGATGGTGGACCAGCATTCAGCTGAGGTGAACATTCTGTAGCACTGACTCCACCCAGACATACTCACAGACTACTGTAAATGTATGGACACAGACAAAACCAAGCTCCAAACTCTCAGACATTTGTAAAGGATGTGGCCAGAGCTGAAGGACACAGAACCAGGGGTTGCAAACTCCTGACCTGCTGGCCACTTCCTGTTCTCAGTCCCACTGCAATAATACATCTTCTTTCCCTTTTTCACTGAGAAATGTGGGGAAAACTGGAGACACTGAGCTGATATGGAAATAATGATTCAAGAAAAAAAAAAAGGTCGGCCTGACAAAGCCAACACGAGGAGACAAACTATCAACATCCACAGATGTTTAACTTTCCATTTAAACTAATGGCTCATCTGTCTTTGGACTGTGGGAGGACGCCAAAGGACCTGGAGACGACCTCAGCACAGACCCTGGACCATGCAAAAAATAAATAAATAAATAAATAAAATAAATAAAGAGAATCATCTGGGTTACAACATACAGTGGTTATGTAGACTTAACCAGTTTATCAAATTGGTTAAAAGTAACTACGTGATAGCTATAGATACGGCATGTATTTTACCATATTAACTGCAGTAACTCACTCCTACAGTGTACTCATTCACTGGTGACTCACAGTGACTCAGAGTCTAACACTGTGGCTGTACATTAGCTGACGACAGGCATTGTTTAGTGACATACCAGGCTCACACATGTTCGCTGCCGTGAGGACAAAGAATGTTTTTTTGGCTGGATCACAATGAGCAGCTGTAAAACAGAAGCTGTGTGTGAAGGAAAGAATAAACAATAGTGCTTCACGGGACAAACACATCATCTCACAGGGAAGCCTGACCTTGGAGAAACCTGGGATGGACAAGGAAGAAAAAACACACACGCGCACAAAGAGATAGTGATTCTCCCTCACACACACAAAATAGCTTTTTCCAGCATTTTCGAATGGAGACAGACGTTTACCACAATATTTTCACATTGTGGAGTCTCCTACTGAGGAGGAAGTCAGTTTGTTTTGGACCAAAGTGGTGGTCACTTTGCCACTGAGGCCAAATGTAAATACTGAAATAGAAAACATATTTGTTTCCATCTTACAAACACTATGGGTGTGTTGGTCTGGAGATGAGGAGCGGTTATACCTCAGGCATATTGTTGGCACACTGAGAACATTAGGAGTAACAGCACCACTGACCAAAAGCAGTTAATGCCACAATTCGTTTATATTTATATTTGTTCTAATGGGGCGTGTGCAGTAGGGGAGGCATGGTTTGAGTTTGCTAAAAATATTATAACTAGTGCAGTGAAACATGCACAGCTTCTTCAAACAAAACACTGTATGGGTGTCCATGCTCTTTTGGCTTAGGAGCTAATATTCAAATGTCTACGCTACTGTGATTGACCTGCATTAACTGAACATACTTCATTTATACGTTAATTCTGGGGTAACGATTAAATGCATGGAGCTTTACGACACAATATGATTGAATTCTTGCAGTAAATATTCAAGACTACACACCATAAAATTATATTTATATTTTAATTGTTTTTTTTTATTTCACTTGCTCTTGGTCACTTCCCTTGAGATCTACTGGTGGATCCCGATCTACTTATTGGGCATCCTTGCTGTGAAACCATTCCTTCAACTACTGCGTTGCAATGCTAAATGAGTGTGTTTAGGCTCGAGAGTCATATGGAGAACATTTACTCCTAGAACTGTCGGAAACATTGTCAATTATTTTACTATTAAGGCAGTAACATCAGGAAAACAATGTAATAGGAATATTTTGTTGTAAACCATAACTCTTTCATGATTATAAAGTTAGACGTACACACATTGCTGCATGGATGCTGTTTATGTTCCATTGCATTTGGAACTTCCTATTTTGCCCCACTTCTGTTGGTTTGGTTTTCAGGCTATTTCCTCTGTATGGGATGTATCATATAACCTCATACTTAATAACAATACACAGGTTGACGCTGTCCTCGACCTACGGTGTTACGTGGCTACGCAGTCATCTCCGATGAAATAATTATTGTTCCACCATTCACGTGCGGTGCTAAAAACAAATTTCGCATGGGACCTAGTTGGCCAGAGGAGTGGACAAACACATGGTCGTGCAGGGCTATACACAGAAGAACATTTTCCTGTCCCTTGCTGTCCCAGTGATAGAATCCATTGTCATGTGTTCAGAAAAACTCAACTGACTCAAAGTTCACAATCTAGATGGCTAGATGACAAAGCCTTGGCTAACAAGCTACCTAATTTTAACAAGGAAGTCTTTTATACAGTCTTCTTTATAGTGTAATAGCGCATGTTAATGCTTGAAACATACAACACCTGAACACCACCCTTCGTAGCAGCTGTTAACCGTATGTCCCAGAAACACAGTCTCTACATCTATCTGCCAGTGTTAAATCGTTTTCATCACCTCCAAAATCCTGTTTTCTGAAAAATCACAGCACAATATACCATGTCTTAACTCACATCCTGTCTCAGGCACCAAAGAGGAACAACTGAGGATTTACTGATGTGGCTTCTGGGAGGTTGCTGCTGCACCTGTATCCTGCATCCGGTATCCAGCTGTCAAGAACGGAGCACGTGTTACAAAAAAAAAACAGTCGATGAAGGTTTACCTTCTTCTGTTTGCTGACTAAGTAGAAGGTTGGACTCAAATCAAAGACTAAGATTGAATTTCAGTAAAAGACATATTCCTGTGTGTATATATTTTTAAAGGTTTCACAGTGAGGTTAGCAACAGGCCAACATGTGTGCTCTCAGCAGATCTTTTCTTGAATGGACACTTTATGTTGACGGTCTAGACCCTGTAGTTGAGGGAAACGTTGAGGTGTTACAACTGTTTTCAGTTTAAATATTAGATTTACTATGTTTTGGACTCGATGTTAACATCATAGCATATGTGTATATTTGGAATAGAAAACTCTCTGCTGTGTATGAAACAAATGGTTAACAATAACAACAAACTCCAACTTTTTAATAAGCAGGAATTTTTGTGTACCATCACAGACTGCTTGGAAGCATTTATTCGGTGAAAAGCAATTAAAAACATGTCCAATTCAACACATTATAATGAATTTAAAAAAAAAAATTTCAATTCTTTTTTGTTCCACCTTGTCCCCTCACTGACCATATGTGCAAACACTGCGATAGACGATTCCCATGGAAGGAACTGTTGAAATGCAGAATATCCTGTTAAATCCCATGCACTTGAACATGTAATTGCAGATGACTTTAAAGGTTTTTGGTGCACAAAGGGAAACACAGCAGTGCAGCTGAAAGCCAATGTAGAGTTTGACCGTCAACTATAAGGTTCCTGTTCACCTCAGCCCCCCTGTGACTACTAGGGTTTTCTTTGAGTACTTCGTTCTAAAGGAAAATACTCCTTGTTATTTGGAATGTCATTAACTTATTTTTTTTACAAATAAATAAAATAAAATAACTTAACCTTAACATTAAACCCTTAACGACAAGTGGTGT